ATATAGCTTGTGGCTATCGTATTGAGAAGCAAAAATTTGGAACATCATAACCAAACTACTGACAATCAAAGACAAATATAAAAAAAAAAAATCTTTAAGGATGTGAACGACTCTTCAAAGAACAGAATGTAGTAAGCTCTGTCTCTACATGAGCAGTGGAATTCAGAAAATAATAAAATGTGCCAAAAGAAAACTGTTTCTAATCTAAAATTCTCTCCATAGTAACAATGTCTTACAACAAATTCTGTTAGTTATCAAGTTGGAAAGAGATACCTTGGAGATGTGCTTGCTTATCGACCTTGAAGTTTGAGATTATCTTCCCAAAGAACATTCAACCAACTTTGGAGGAGGGTGGATTTATCATTCTACATATTTCCATTATGGCCCCTATAAGATCAGATTTTGCTTGCTAGCTAATATATTTGTTTCTCTTACTTTACTGTCACCTCTATAGGTATTTTCAAAATATACACTGAAAATTGCATGCCAGGGTTTATACAAAAGTGTATCATTTTAAAACTAAAGCCTAATAGAAAAGTCTAAGATTTATTTCATAATAACTTGATGGGGAAATATGGTGGGCAGCATCCAAACTTTTTGGAATTTCTCAGTGTTATATGATGCCTGAGAGGGGGACAGAAGGAATATGGGATAGCAGTGGGGAAGGAAGAATGTGAGGGACCTACAGTGATCTATAGTTACAGAAATGTCTGGAAGATAAATTGACCCATTCAAGGTCCAACAAAGAGCTAGAACTGGAATAAGAACCTAAGTTTCCTAGTCCCATGTATGTGTCATACCATGGAATCTCAAAATTAAAACTCTGTGTAGGAATACCGTGCCCAGGGGATGGAGAGATGGCTCAGTGGTTGAGAGCACTGACTGCTTTTACAGAGGACCCGGGTTCGATTTCCAGCACCCACATGGCAGCTATGAACCATCCTTAACTCCAGTTCCCAGAGTATCCAAAGTCCTCTTCTGACCTCCGTGGCATTGTACAACACAGGTGCACTCACATACATGCAGGCAATACACTCATACACACAAAATAAAAATAATAAATAAAATATTTTTTAAAAAAGGAATACCAGGCTGGGTGCGGTGGCATTTGCCTTTAATCCCAGCACACTGGAGGCAGAGGCAGGTGGATCTCTGTGAGTTCAAGGCCAGCCTGGTCTACATAGTGAGTTCCAGGACAGCTGGGGCTACAGGGAGACCCTGTCTCAAAAAGACCAAAAAAAAAAAACAAAAAAACAAAAAAAGGAGTACCATGTCCACCAATTCTGCCCATGGCTATTCTAAACCATTCTGAGTTTAACAACTGCCAAGATTCTTTTAAAAATCAACTTTAAGAACATGAAAGAAACCCCTAAGGGGGAATCAGAAGGCCTGGATTTTTATTTCAGCTCTGTTAGCAGGTAAACTGGGAGTCTTGGGTATGTACCTGCCTTCTCTAAACCACAAAGCAAACTATTGAAGGAGCAGTCTTGGAGAAACTAGAATTTTAAAGCTTCTTAAGTTCTATCATTCTACTTCAAATATTTGGAATAACTTTCTGCTTCTTGCTTCAGCCCCTTCCCTATAAGAAACAAATAGTCAAATAAACTGTGACAGGAAAAACAGAATTAGCTGTTTTTAGTCATTGTCAATGAGTGATGTAAAGTGCATTCTTCCCAGCAAAACAGTTGGCATCTTCATTAGATCAGCTATGCCTGCTTGCAAGAGACCATTACCACCAGGCTGGTTGACCTTCCCTCATGAGGAAGGTACTGAGGAGTCATTAGACTCTCAGCTGAAATCCTGGCCAATCCTCCCAGACATCTGTATGCAATTCTGCCCTATTTGCATGTGGCCTTGGGTCTTGGAAGGTTCTAGAGTATATCAACAGGGGGTGTAAATTGAAATGGGGATCCATCTATGCAGCTAAGGGGAAGCTATTCTATCATCCATGCTGCGAGAGAACCTTCCAATTTGGCTGCTTTGGGGTCTCCCATGCTCCCATAAGTAACCCCTCACTCATGGTCTGTAAGTAAGTCCAATAAACACATTGATTCCCCAAGGTGAATGTTGGTGGAATTAAAATTTAGTTTGTCGTTAGGACCTTATAAGGAGGGAATAGATGTTGCTCATGTCTCCCAGGAAAGAAATATTCACAACAAATAGGTTTTAGTAGTGGTTGTTGTCTTGGGGGCAACAAAAATACAGCTAGTTCAAGAAACAAACAAGATGGTATTTCTCATTTGTGGATCCTAGAATTCATAGACATACACACACACACACACACACACACACACACACACACCTTATACACACACACCTCATACACACATATGTAACATATGCATACACACACCATACACACCATACAAATACACATACAGCCACACCATACACACAGCACACCCCACACATTATACACATACACACACCACACACACATACACACCACACACACTATACACACATACCACACACAGTATACACATACACATAGCATATATACACACATACACACACATCATACATACACACTGCATATACCCACACATTATACACACACACACAGACACACACACACCATACCATACATATGCACACACACTTGACATATGAGTAGAAGACTCTAGGTGAACAAAAGGAACTAGTGCGTAAACTGCAGGTAGTAGTTGGTAGCAGTGAGGGAATATGTTCAAAGTACATTATATATTGGTGTGAATATGTCCCTATGAACCCTACAAAATAAATAAATAAAAGTCAAAACAAGCAAATATATACGTGTTCTTTTGGGCAGGGTGAAGTGTTCTAAAGGAAAGAAAACCATCACAAATTTAGAGAGAACATGGTGAGGGGCTGTGAATGAAACATGTACATTACATACCTACCCAGGTATACTTTATATTGCTCAACCAAACTCTGAATTGGATTGTTTTTTTAAAAATTGTAACTAATAGCTTAGAATATTAGATAATTAGTACTCCTAGATAAACAGTGGAAGAGAAAAAATAATACAATTCAACTCATATGCATACGTTCTCTCCGCATCCCTGCTTCCTTGTCTTGAGGCAAAACTGGCCAGGAACCCGATACCTTTGGGCATAAAACAGGTTGAGTGGCTGTTTGACTCACTGCACTTGACTCTTTTTCATTTGTCAGATTGAGACCTTTGCTGAGCATGCCATTTCGAATGCTTTGTCCATAAATGGTATTTTTTAATATGGATTTTGAAATAGAGTGAGGTATTGGTTTGCCTTTGGAGAATAAAATTGACAAAAAAAGTCTGAAAGACTTCTACAAAACAACCTACCTTCTTCCTTCCTGGAGTTATCTTGAGATTCCTTAGGTTGGCTGGTGTGGAAGTGATAGTATGAGGGTGTGGGTTTTCTCAAAATGCATATAGAAGATGATACTAGCTTCTGATATTGGCCTGGGAGAGAGACTATCAGACAAGCCAAGACAGTCCCCAGTCTAGGACAATTTCACCTCTGAATTTCTTGCCCTTGTCATGGCGAAAAAATGAGATGCACTTTCAGCGTGTGTCTTTTCCCAGGCTTGTGGTAGACAGTACAATCCCTTCTTGCAATGCTCGAGAACAGAGGCTGTACCTCCCCACCAGGTTTGTCTCCCCACCAGCTTTCTATGACAAGGGGAAACAATGACCACACTGCTTCATGCTGCATTGTGCTAATGCTGTGCTTTCCAATCTCATCACAACCACAAACCATTCATCTGTGTCTCCTACTCCCACAGAGACACACTGTTTTTCATTTCAATACTGTATTCAACAAATCACATACTCACATGAGGTATTCAACTCTGTTATAATGGGCTTTATTTTAGATATCTGTGCCCAAGGGAAGGCTGATGTAAGGTAGTTACACAGAGCTACAGTGTCTGGTAGGCTACTATAGTAAATCAATTTGCTGCTTATGGTATTTTCATGTTGTAATGGGTAGTTTGAGACATATCACCATGTAAAGTTGAGAAATAACTATTTAAATCAACACGACAAAGAAGATAACCCACATATGCTAAATGTACAGAAATAGCAAGAAAAAAAATGAAGAGGTACTAAAGAATTCAAGAGTAAATAAACCAAGATTAAAGTATTTTAGGGATTTAATAATAATAGTTATTATATACAATATATGTTGTTATAATAGCAGCAACAACCAAAAGCACAAATGTTTATAGTATACTTTGTCTACATGTCATCACTATCCTAATGCTTTAAATAATGATACATCATACTCACAAATAAGCAGTTAACTATTACAATTGTTCCCAGCTTATGTGAAGTAAAGCTTAGGCACAGAGAATTTAAGCATCTGGACCAAGAACACACAGCTAGTATCAAGGAAGCCATATCTTGTATCTGTGGCTTAACACTCATGAATAAAAGTAAAGTATTGGCTAGAGGACAAAAAAAGGAAGATTACATGGTAGCTGAACACTGTTGAATTGAGCGAGCTTGTATATAATTGAGAACCTAAGTAGTATGCTTCACTCTTCAGGAATACTGGACCAAAGGGAACACACCCCACTGTCACCCTTCGCTGCAATAGCAGCAACACATGCAGAATCTGACAGGACTTCTTTTTATGTGAATTATATTTCTTCACAAATTCCCCTCTTTCATCTCCATCTTCAGACTGTGTATGCAAAACTATAGGGCTTTCTTTAAGTTCTCCAGTCTTTTTCTAATCACTAGCAAATGCTGTTATCAGGAAAGTCTCTTTAGATGTAAAATTAATCACTGACTTTCCAACTTAAACCCATTTCCTCTTCTCTGATCTTTATTGAAGATAAGAGACACATGAAGGTAGTTAACATTCTAATCACCTTGGGCTTCCTTTTTTTAATTTAATAACTCATTTAAATGTACTTCTGCTAAATCCCATTTTAAAATTTCCCTGACATTAATTACTGATATATTCACGTTGGTTTGACAGGGCTATTTTGCCATTTTAAATGTGTTTCAATGGCAAGCTTTCTCATCTTACCTCTCCATTTTCCAAAGGGTGAATCTTGGAATAAAATGAAGTGCAGATGACCTCATCGTCTTTGGCATAGGATGGCGGCCCAGTGCGGGGATAGATATTGTAGAGGGTCAGGCACTCTGTGTCTGTCACAGCATGATACTGCCAGGGCTTGTACTCCACATCATCGAGGGAACGTTCCAGAATCCAGTTTCCAGGCCGAGGGGAGTTGGCTGCTTTCACAATCACATAGGCAATCTGGAACACCTGGGGAAGGATGACAGCATAGCTCTGAATTCCAAGTGTTCTCTTCTTATGCCAAGTAGAAAACTTGCTGCTAACTGAAATTTCATTTCAGATTTTGTTCTGTAGCCCTATTATAGTCTCTGATATGAGTTTACTATTGCATGTTCTTATTTAATAATTTTTTGCTAAGACAAGCTGTTTCATTTTGACAGCCATGACTTAAGAGTAGACTTGAGTTCTCCAATTCATTGGCATTGTTTCACCTAATTTTTAAAGTTCCATTGCAGTCATCACCATTGAAACCTCTGATTGCATGTGAATTTCCTCACCTTATATATTAGAGGAAATAAAATATATGTTAGAAATAAAACATGCTTTTTATATCATTTAATTCTCAAAAAGGAAACTTCATGTGCTGCAGCAAAAACAGCACAGCTTCAGTAGCATATTCCTATGCCCAAACTGTGGGCCCATCATTTGTGTGAAGCTGGGAAGATTCGTTTTTCCAACTTCCAGCTTCTATGAATTAAGGTCAAGAAAAAGCACACTTCTGAGAGACCACTTAGATTAAATGAGATAGTGTATACAAAGTACTTGACAAAGAACTTCGCAGTGCATACTCAATAAATGTCTATTTCTCTCTGCATCCGTAAATAGAAAATAATGGAGAAGAAATTCCAGTGACATGCAGACAAGTGATTGAAACTGGAGTATATGAAATAAAGGGTTTCCGTGCCTCATCTTCTCAAGAAACAAACGTAAAAATTGGGGAAATAAAAAGACATCATTACTTTGTCAACAGTCAAGCTTCTACTTTCAAATCTACATACAATTTGAAGATTCAAAAAAGAAACATTGAAATGTTTGCGACAATGTATGTCTTTACCAATGCAGTCTAAAGTCTAAAAGACTAATGCAGATATTATCAAATGACATCTGTGCAATGTCCTGGGTAGAAATAGAGATACAAACTAGGTAAAATTACTATCTCTCTAGAATGGTAATTATAAGCCAGGAAAAGTGTTAATAAAGCAATATAATCAATTCCACATCGATACATTCTGTAAGAAATAACAGCTCTAAGCTCTGAACAGTAAATATCAGCTTTAATTTGGTGGGGTTACTAGTGAGGTTGAGCTTGGAGATGCTCTATGGAACAATGTGATTAAAGGACCCATTGTCTTTTAATCATGAAAAGAATATTCTAGAAAGAAACTATCTAATTCATGATTAGGGGATTAGATCTTCATAGACTCATGACTACACATTATACATACACACACACACACACATATATATATACACATATATATAAAATAAGGAATTTTAAAACATGAAAATTTGGCATAGGTGCAGCTGGTTCTGGGAGATACTTGGTAGAAGGTAGGCACACGAAGTTTTAAGTGAGGAGAAAAACGGCAATCCCTCAAATGATTGAAACTAAAGCTGATATTTACTGTTCAGGCAAGGTAGTGGGAAAACTGCAAGCTAAAACACTGAAATCCTTCTGTTGGTAAACGGCTGCTGTCCAAAGGCCACCTCTTCCCTTGAGGCCATAAGATTAATCTCAGAAAGGAACAGCCAAACACGTATTCTCATCAGTGTGGGCTTCAGTCATTCCGTTCAAATGAAAGCCATTCGAATGTAAGTGGTTGTTGATGCTAAAGCATAACTCTCGCCTCAAAGGGGGTAAGAGATAGTTTATTTTGGAGCCAAATATGAGTGACCATGGCCCAGGAACACAGATTCAGGTTACCCCAAATTCCATGCTCCATCATGGTAAGAGTTACATTAATTTTTTATAGTAACAGAACAAAGGAAAGTCATAAATCAAGACAACTTTTAAATACATTGGTGATACATTCAGTAGGCGGGTCATAGTAAAGAGTGGGTTTTCTACTATAGGTCTCAGATGCTATCGGATGACAGTTTTAGCTTTTTGATTGGTGAGACCTGGTGGTCTGCTAGGATAATGCATTCAAAAAGGTTTTTATCTGTTAGTCACAGGATGTTAGATCAGAAACAGACATGGGCAAGGTGTGGCTATTTAGGCCAGAGATAAATGGTAATTAGGCGCTGGACCTGCAACATTCCAAACTCTCCACATTCATTGAAATTCTAATCAGTTGATCAGCCTTGCAGGAGAATGTCCAGTTTGAAGATGGAAGGTTTTTTCTGGGGACTTTTATTCACATGGTAAATATGTGTTTATAATTTTTCTCATTTGTATGTGCATCTGGTATATGTGTGTTCAGATATGTGTGGATTCATATGTGGGCATGCATGCATGTTGTATGTATGTGCATGTTCATGCATGTGTGTGTGTGTGTGTGTGTGTGTGTGTGTGTGTGTGTGTGTGTATAATCCAAAGGTTGATGTTGGGAGACTTTATCCATCATTCTCCACCTCATTCATTGAAGCACGGTCTTTTATTGAACCCCCAGCTTGTCAAGCTGGCTAGTCTGACTAGCCCCTTTGCTCTAGGGATGCCCTGTCTCCTGTTTCAGAGTGCCAGAATTACAAGTGGGCCACCATACCTACCTAGCTGGGAATACAAACTTTGACCTCATACACACAAGGCAAGGATTTTAACCACTGAGCCATCTCCCCAGCCTGGAGTTTACATTTAGTATAATTACACACACACACACACACACACACACACACACACATGTATGTGCATATAAATATTTTAAAATGCATATGCATTTGAGGTAAAGATACACATAAGCATGTTGAGAATGTTTCCTTTGTGAATGAGGAATCAGGAGAGGAGGAGCAGGAGGGTTCTTTCTATATCCCAGTGTCTTGCTTACTTCTATTAGCACAAATGTCTTACTTTTTTGGTCATTGTTTGTTTTGCTGTTTTGTGGTGATGGGGTGTACAGCCAGAGCCTCTTACACACTAGGAAAATTCAATCACTTAGCAACATCTCTACCCCTATTTCATATTATGTTTTTGAGACAGGGTCTCACTAAGAATTTCTAGCTATCCTGGAACTTGTGATTCTGCTACCCCAAGCTCCCAAAGTGTAGGGACTATAGTAATTCCCACCATGCTTAGTTTCCTAAGATCTATGGGAGTCATGCTCTATTACCTACAGTATTTGTTACTTCTGAACTGTTTTAGGTATTGTTCCTAATAAATTATTTCCATTTAAGTGGGTATGAAGCTTCCTCATAGGAAATTTACTGAGGAACAAAACAACTGATTCCACTTAACAAGTGAAAAGGGAGAACGGCCTCTACTGTACAATTATGACATAGTCTACTCTTAATTGTTTATAATCCCAAAGCAATCCTGGCAGAGCTTTAAAACACTAAAGAAAGTGAGCAACTAAATTATGAGTACCATGAGGACTGGAACTATGGATTTTACATCCTTAAAGCTGCTACAATTCTTGCTGTAATACTTTTGAGGCAGTGAGTGTTCAGTATTTATTAGATCTAGTTGAGTAGCCCAAATCACTGTAACATCGTTATTGCAGGTTTTAGTTTAGCATTGGCCATTTCTGTTTGAGAGAGCATGACCTGCAGTCAACAATAGGATATAAATGCCTTGCAGGAACCAAGGCATGCATTTTCTTTGCTGCTCATATTATTGTGTCCTGATAAGCTGAGAAAATTATGTAACCTATTTAACACTCTGCTTCCTAGTATTTCTTTTCCAAAGACAACCTATGAACAAGACAGTGAGATGATGAACACAAAATGCTGCATACTCTTTGAAAGAGAGGATCTACACAAACGTTTTGAGTTAGCATCTTTCAGGAAAAAAAAACACAAAACATTGCAAAGATTTTTTTTGAGATATATAAAACGAAAGATAATGAAATATATTAGAGATCACAGTTGCTACACAAGAAAAATAAGGATGCACTGAGGAGGTTATAGATAAGGAACTTTGTTTAGAAATAGGAAGAGGCTAAATTCTCTTGGAGCTGAAATATGGATTTATGATTCAAGAGATTCTGTGTTGGCACTGGAATAATGGATGAAAAAAAAAAAAAGCTCCACAAAATATCCGAGAGCCTTCCTCTACAATTCAGTAAAACAGCCAGTATGAAACAACATGGAAACATCATCACTATCTTCAAAAGTATTACAGGAGTTCCATTTCAAAACAATATCATTCTTTCATTTATTTTCAATGAATTCTTTCACATCCCATGCAATATTAATTAAATTTGTTGGCATGCATTATTATGAATAAACTTTTTAAAGTGTTATAAATAGTATTATTGAAAAACACAATGAATAGAAACCTTCTTTGAAGGCTTCAAAGAATGGCTGTGAAAATTTTAACAGATTTTCTAAGGACTCCCAATTTTCAATGTCTCTAATAGAATAGATCTTTAGTGTTTTCTATGCCATTTTTCTTAGCTGCCTCTTGTGTTTTCGGTATAAATACTCTTCAAACTCAGTAGTGTTAATAACTTATTTCCAGATGAATAAATTCCCAATCTGTTATGGTGTGCAACAAGAAAAGTAAATACCCCATTATAAAAAGTACTTCAATTCCCAGCACCCACACAGAAGCTAAAATTGCTTTGGTCCAGTATTTTCTTACTATGCCCCATTCTTCCCTTTGGGAATTGGAATGTAAATTCTGTGTCATGGTATGTTGGAAGCATTTAATTTGTCATTTTGGTTTACAGGGAGGTTAGAGTTAAAATATTTTCTTGAGTCTCAGAAGAGACTTTGAACAGCATTTAGACTGTTAAAGACTATGGGGAATTTTAAAGTTGGATTAAATGCATCTTGCATTATGATAAGGCCATGAGGGTATGAGGGGTTAGAGAGAGGAATGTGGTGATTTAAATGAAACATATCTCCCATAGCCTCATTGTTTGAATACATTGTCTATAGTTGGTGGTGCTTTTAGGGGAGGTCATGGAATCTTTAGGCGGTATAGCATTGCTGGAGAAAGTATGTCAGTGGGGGTGGACTTTGAGAGTTCATAGCCTCACCTCAATTCCAGTTTTCTTTCTCTACTTTGGTTTGAGATTGAAGGTGTGATA